ATTGGATAGTTACAGCTACTGTATTTTCCACCCAGCAATTTTGACAAACGTCGATTGACAAATTGTTGTTTGTCCAGTTGGATGGTGCTCATAGGGCCACCCACAGCTCACATTTTGGTATGTTAAGCAGTAATCGGCCAACATTTGAGCAGTGTATGACCAGCACAGCACACGTGCGCTCTTTACAAAACATTATTTGAATATTTATATACTGAGGTGTCATAGGTCTGGGCATTCAAGACAAACTCCTGGAAAAATCTGTAATGCTATGTGGAATATGGTTTAGAATTATCTATTCTGCCATACCTAAGCATAATCAAGAACTAAATCATTCAAAAACACTAATACAGAATATTTGACTATATTACAATTACATGTTAAGATGTACCATTATTAACAGACAATCAAAACTTACTAACTCCTCAGCCACAGCAACTTTGTTCCCTTATAATGTGACAATAAACTCTAGGACCTATTCTATTTTATAACAGTTTGGAGATCTCTGGCTCTAGGAAGCCAGGGACATTCTTTTTTTTCCTATACATTCTGGAAGCTTCGTGGTTGCCTAAAGAAAAGACGAATATAATATCCGCTGAACTATATAAAACACAGAAAAAGAACCAATCATATAATTTTGGATACAATGGGATCATTGACAAACTAGACTGTGACATGGTGGGAAATACAGTATGCAAGCCACTAACTATTAAAGCAGAGTTCCACTCAAGAGTGGAAGCTCCACTTATTTGTCTCCCCCCCCCCCCCCCCCCTCCACTGCCATTTTTGTCACCTTTTGGGGGGGAGCGGATACCTGTTTTTGACAGGTACCCTCTCCCACTTCCGACTCAGTTCACCGCAGCGAAGTGAACCAGAAGTTTCTGTCCCTTCCTTCCTCCCGCAGTCTCCTGGGAACCTCCACAGGTCCCAGAAGACTGCTGGATCAATGAGAATGCACAGCACGACTTACGCATGCACAGTGGGCACTCGGATGTGAAGCCACAAGCTGTCATAGCCTGGTGCCCACAGTTGTAATGCCGGTCCCGGGGAGAGAAGAGGGAGAGAAGGGACACCGCGGGTGAGAACATCGCTGGACCCTTGGACAGGTGAGTGTGTATTTATTAAAAGTCAGCAGCTACAATTTTTGTAGCTGCTGACTTTTAATAAACACAAAACTGACTGGAATTCCGCTTTAACATATACCAGCAGGTAAAATAAGTATTGAACACATCACAATTTTTCTCAATAAACATATTTCTAAAGGTATATAGAAGAGTGCAGTGCTAAAATGAGCAAAGACAAGTAAACATACATATGAAAAAGTTCAAATGATAATGAGATCCAGAATAAAGTGACTCTTGTGCTCTGATGACTATAGGGTCCGGTATCCGTGCAATAGTGGTGAAGGTAATGTGCACTCACCGGACACGCATGTTATAAGTGCTTTGTGTATAATAATCCAGATGTCATCAGGTAATGGGTAGTCCTCCCTTTAATGTTAGGTAGTGTGAAACTGGTGTGGGTGGTCCTCTCCTTTAGGGGTCCCCCTATGAACCTGGTGGGTAGTATCCCTCTGGGTGGGCAGACCTTCACTGTACTGTGATGATTTAAAGAACAGGTTAAAAACAGGTTTTTGGAAAAGGGATACATGGCGGACAACCTGGATAATACAACGGATATTGTAGCACAACTGAATAGGGAAGACCTATTAAAAGACAAGGAGAAAGACAAGAAAGGTCAAATATGCCCATTTTTTACCACATATTCCAGGCAATATAGGGCAATTAATCATATAATTAATAAAAACTGGAAGGTACTAAAAGCTGATCCCATTTTGACTAAAATATTACCGGAGAAACCTGAAATAGTTTTTCGTAAAGCCACTAGCTTGCGACATTACCTGGCACCGAACGTGACTGATCCGCCTGTTGACATTTCACTGTTTAAAGATTTAAAGGGAAACCACCCTTGTAACAAATGCATGATTTGCACATGTGAAAATAGCAGGAAGCATAAACAAACTACATTTATGTCACATGTGACTGGAAGAACATATAATATTGATAAATGTATTACCTGCAATAGTAAATTTGTTGTATATCTTTTAGTATGTCCCTGCAAGTTGCAATACATAGGTCGCACCACCAGAAGCCTCAGGGACAGGTTACAAGAGCATGCTAATAACATAAAACGTGGATACAGGGAACATTCTCTCTCCAATCATTACAAGCGGTTTCACAATCAAGATCCAACTTATTTAAAGTTCACAGGAATTAATCTGATTAAACCACATTGGAGGGGAATACATAAGAGGAGGGCTGTATCCCAACTTGAAATGAAATGGATACACGAACTCCGTTCCCTGCATCCTAATGACCTCAACATTGAGGTTGACATTAACTGCTTCATTGCGAATAATTAGATTTTTATCCATTAACAATATAATTACGTCTTTCTTCAATATTTATCTTGGTCCTTTTTTAGCGCCTGAACCCCCTTTTTTTAATATTTTTTTAATATTATTTTTATTGTTTTTAATATTATCTTCTAATTTTTATGCATTTTTATTTATTTTAATTCATTTATTTGTTTTTCTCATTTATTAAGTAGCATCTCAGTATGGAGATCGAGTGTTAATGTTATGAATACACATTTTTGATCTAGTTCATATACTCAAGACCGATTGTTATTCCTATCTTGCAGTTTGAGATTGGTATAATATCTTTAGAGTGCCTTCCTTTGTCTACTTGTTTTTTATGATATTTATGTCTATTATTTATTTAGTTTTGTTTACAAAGTATGTGGATTTTTATTAGTTAATATTTGGGGGTTCATTTCCCCTAGGGATCTCTTTATTGTATTACAATACAAATGGAGACAATTCGCACATGCACACTAATTTCAGCTTGCTTTTATATATTTTTAAATTGGCTTAATATTCACCCCCCCCCCCCCTTTTATGCTGCCATTTTAGTTGGTTACCAATTTTTAATTTTCCCAATTTTGCACATTACAGTTTACCCGTTTTTTAAGTTAGCCATAGCTCTAATTCAGATATTCAGATGATCTGTCTGCTCTGTCAATTGCCTATTAGGATCTAATGGAAAATGGCAGCCGAAGCCTTTATGCATGCGCAACAGCACCACAACACTGTGAACACGCAGACACACGTTCTACTTTGTTCTTCTGTATGGGGAAACCAAGGGAAAATGGAGCTTATACACTCGGGCCTGCGCAGTTTGTTCTGCACTACGCCAACATGGCCACTATTTAATGCGCAAGTGCCGAATCGCTTATATATAAGAACAGCGGACGACACGGTGTGATTGGCGACCCCCCTCTGAGGACATGCTTGAGCACATTATGCGTCAGGAGGAGCCACACCATGCTGTGACGTCACGCCGCCGGAGCAACGTGGAGCTCCGGCGGCCATCTTACTATATCAGACGGTTAGTCTTCATTGATCTCTGTCTGGAATCACTCGCTTTATCTCACCTTGATGCATCACAAATAAAGATTTTTAATACCTGCTACACTATGGGAGTCTCTCTGTTACCCCCTGGGGGAGTGCTTTAGCCCGCAGACCAGTTTCCTGGACAGATCATCGCAGTACAGTGAAGGTCTGCCAACCCAGAGGGATACTACCCACCAGGTTCATAGGGGGACCCCTAAAGGAAGAGGACCACCCACACCAGTTTCACGCTACCTAACATTAGAGGGAGGACTACCCATTACCTGATGACATCTGGATTATTATACACAAAGCGCTTATAACATGCGCGTCCGGTGAGTGCGCATTACCTTCACCACTATTGCACGGATACCGGACCCTATAGTCATCAGAGCACAAGAGTCACTTTATTCTGGATCTCATTATCATTTGAACTTTTGCATATGTATGTTTACTTGTCTTTGCTCATTTTAGCGCTGCACTCTTCTATATACATTGATGTTCTAGGGTGATATTGGTTACCTTTTGTGCACAGCAGCTTACATTTATTTATATCAAGGCGCTTATACTTACCATTTTCATATTTCTAAAGGTGCTATTGACATGAAATTTTAACCACATGTAAGTAACAACCCATGCAATCCATACATACAAAGTAACCAAAACAAATAAGTTTAGAAATTAAGTTATGTGTAATAAAATGGAATGAAACAGGGAAAAAGTATTGAACACATGAAGAAAGGGAGGTGGAAAAAGGCATGAAAAGCCAAGACACCAGCTGTAATCTATCAGTAATTAAAAAGCAATCCTGCCCCTTGTCAGTACAAATTAAAATCAGCTGGTTCAGTCTCAACTAATGGCCTATAAAAAGGTATCTCATTACAAAGGTGTCACAAAAGAAACATCTCAAGATTCATAAAAGCAAAAAGTTCTCTCAAGACCTTTGCAACTTTATTGTTGCAAAACATACTGATGGCATTGGTTACAGAAGGATTTCTAAACTTCTGAATGTTCCAGTGAGCATTCTTGGGACCATAATCCAGAAGTGGAAAGAACATCATGTCACCATAAACCGGCCACATGAAAAGTCCATGTCAATAGGACCTTTAGAAATATATTTACTGAGAAAAATGGTGGTGTGTTCATTACTTATTTTACCTGCTGTATATATATATATCATATGTATATTTTGTATGTGTGTATGTATATATGTATATATATATATATATATATATATATATATATATATATATATATATAATGTGGGAACTCGCTTCAACGTGGTAGAGCTTCTTCAAAGCACACAGCAACTCGCTTCTGTTAAAGGCCCTTTTTGGCCAATTTTATTTACAAGAAAGTTCAAATAAACAAGAATTCTTCCCACGCAGGGGTATCCATCATCAAGCAAAACAATATTCAGCCTCCTGGCTTGCAAGCAGTTTTAAGTCTGCCTCCTGCAGACTCTTCCCAAAAGGTTCTTTTGGCACCTAGCGAACCTTTAGCACACAGCTATTCTGTAGCAGCCCCTTGCTGCTTTTGGCTGCCACCTCTCCTAGGTGTAGCCCACCTGACTCCACGGCAGACTTCCTGTCTGCCGGGGTGGAGCCCGCCTGACTCCTAACTGCTGGGGTGGAGCCCAGAACTATGGCCTGGCCTCTATAAAAAGGCGCGCACACACCTGTGCCATCAGTGTGCTGGGGGTTCTCAAAACATGGACCCCGGATTGGAGATTTCATCCCTCCCAGATCTCTTTGAAATCTCCAGGCTCCAGATCCCAAAACAAACTTTATGAATAAACGAGGAAACTGAAAAGTCAGTTTCCTCTGCAATACATTAACTCTCTGGAGCCCCTCAACCTGCCTGGTTGAGAATCCAGGGTTTTCAACTTGAGTTTGACCGTGGCAGGACACCGCACTGCCACAATATATATATATATATATATATATATATATATATATATATTGTGGGAACTCGCTTCAAAGTGGTAGAGCTTTTCTTGTTTAAGCACACAGCAACTCGCTTCTTTAAGGGTCTTTTGGCCCAATTGTATTTAAATGAAAAAGTTCAACAAAAATGCTTCCCATGCAGGGGTATCCACCATCAAGCAATACCAACAAAGAAATGAAGGACTGTCTCTTTAAGGCAGGTTCTCCTCTCAAATTATGGCCCTCACACACAGCTGGCCACTAGCACACAGCTAGTCTGGCTTCCACCTCTCCTTGGTGAAGCCCACCTGACTCCAAGGCAGATACCTCCTGTCTGCCAGGGTGGAGCCCTCCTGACTCCTGTCTGCCGGGGTGGAGCCCGCCTGACTCCTATCTGCCGGAGTGGAGCTCAGAACCATGGGTTAGGCCTCTACAAAAAGCCCTGCACCCACCTGTACAATCAGTGTCCTGGCCATTACCAAAACCTTATCCCAGGATTAGAGATTTCATCCCTCCCAAATCGCTTCGAAATCTCCAGGCTCCAGGTCCCAAACTGGACCTTACCAACAAATAAGGAAAGTGAAAATCCACTTTCCTCTGTATCAAACAAGTACCCTGGAGCCCCTCAACCTGCCTTGTTGAGAATCCTGGCTGACAGATCGCCACACTGTCACAATATATATATATATAGTTCTATGGCAATCTAGTGACAGTTCATATGTTCACAAATAAAAAGGACAACAGGGGATACCAACTAAGTGTAGTAGTATATAGTATATTTTTTGGAAAAAAGACAATTGGCAACTCACTGTAGAAGTAAATAACCCACTCATCTAAATGACCACCATCATCTCACTGTTGGGTACTAGGAATGGTGCTCATCTGGTGGATGAACACCTTCCCTAGTACCCAACAGCGAGATGGTGATATACTTAGTTGGCGCCACCTATTGTCCTTTCTATTACCCACAGCTATCACTTCTATCAGAGTTTAGAGCAGCCTCTAATGTCCTTTGACCGGCTACACCTACAAGGACTCAACGTTTTGGACTATTTTTACTATTTAATTCTAAAGATCCAGTTCTACTATTTGTACTATTGTCCTATATTACGTTTTTTATTCTCTTGACCTGTTTTATATTGAGCACCTTATTTAACTTGAACTGCTTTACATTTATTGTATCCCATTTTATCCCATCATATGTTCACAAATACAAATACATGTTTAGTAATTCAGACCTAAACTCAGATAAGGGACTTGTAAAAATGAAAAGAATCCCCAACCA